CCATTCGTATTGGGATGAAACTTTCTCTTTCCATTTATTCAAAATATGTCTTGAAGTCAAGGTCATGAACATAGTGCACCCATGTACCGAAATAGATGGGACAAGACTGTTTGTCAAATGGAAACCTGGTGATAGCCATAACGCAGGGCAGCTCGTAGATATGCGCCGTACAAACTGTAATACTACCATTGCTATCGATGATCCCGATGATATTCGGAGCAATAACAGTCGGATAGTTCACGTGCTCTTCGTTGGCACTGGAAAAACAATAATGAAGTGTTAGCTTTTGTTTTAATTATCAACTAATCGATATATTTAAATTACATTGTAATAAATGTTTAGCTTCAGACACCATAAAGGGCGGCGGTCGTCGTGCCGCGTCCTGTTCGACATGAGACTCATAGCGACGTATACAACGCGTGTAAAAATACATTGTTTATTTACATGAAATTCGAACACGCTCTGCGCGACGACCACTGCCCTTTAACGTACACAACACAACACATATACCAGTTTGGGGTCGACAGGAGACATGATGCGTGATGATAAATAATACAAATATAAGCATAAATGAACATGCATATGGATTAGGACATTGAGATACAATTTGACGAATAAAAAAACACATACCTGTAACGTAATGCGTGACGAAATATAAAAATATTAGTGTTTATGGAGATTACATTACTATATTGTGATAGAGCGCCGCCATGAATTGCATCAACATAACAGGAACGTAGAAATTGTTACACAGAGCTAAACAACATGTAAATAGTTGAGATGGTGGACACTGTCACAATAACAATATGTATATGACATGTAGCCCGTAATTATGCATGTTATTCCCAACATTGCTTTAAGGCGTAGAACTAAATATCGCGCACAAAACAGTCTTGCAATGCCAACACGTATTCCCGCAACTCTACTATATGTAGACTGACATTGCATTAGTTTCCTACTGTCATTATAGCCAAGTTATTAAAATATGAAAAGTATTTCTTGTAGGATCAGTCACTTGTCCATACACAAAAGTGGGATATTTTTTTACGGAAAAAACATCTTTTGTTTTCAACTACAAAAATTAAGAATCGATGTCCACCAGTCAGTTTTCTGTAATAGCCTATTGACCCTGTCCCCAAACAATATACTTTCGTTTTTGGCAAACTTTTAAATAGTGGCATTACGGGACAATTTGAGAACACCAATAAGTGGTCATGCAATGCTACCAAGTAGTCACGCAATGCCACCAAGTAATCCCGTAAACATCACTTCCTAGTCACATCATCACATTGGTAGCGTTGCATGACTTCCGTCACAGTAAGACGTGGTATGGCATGATTATATGTCATCGTAGGTCATATAGTTCTCTTTTTAAATTATCGGAATATATTCAAAGTGAGTTGTAGTGTATAATTGCGGTTTATGAAAGCAATCACATGACCATCTCTCTGTTTCAGTCGAGAATATATAAGCACATTTACTACACCATACATCTATTATTATGGACGAACATTAACGTGTATAGACATATAACATATATATGTTGGTGAAGTGATATTTTCAGTGAGATTTGTTAGTATTGCAAGATGCTAAACAAGTTTACTAATCCACAGTCACTCTACTAGGAGAGTGACTGTGACTAATCGTTAATAATGGACACAGACTGCAAGACAACCACAGTGAGGGGTGAGAGCGTGAACGACAAGCAATAGTTTACTTTTAGGCAGCAATCATATGAATGATGGTTATTGTTTCAGTCAAGCTTCGTTACATAAACGTATTGGTCGTATTTACCTAAACGGATGCCGTCTGAGCCCGGTGGTAGTTCACTTGTGGTTTGACACCGGTCAATATTCTTCGGCAACTGATCGGCGTGGCACAAGAAGGGTGCCATTTGAATTTATACTTGTCCGCACAGTAAACATTCATTTACTGGATAACATCATCAGTGTGGCTAAAAAGAGACTCGTCTATCCATGAGAGACTTTTATTATCGAACAGAGTGATATGTACTGCGTCTGACACGTGTTTGTTGGTGAAGCTTACATCGAAAATAATATTCCGTTTCGCAGTATGTGTTTTGAAACTATTCAGTTTCACCAACGCAATATATGTGCTGCAGCGTATTTAATATCATTGATTCAGTCTTGCAGAATGTGTCAATTACTACCATTAGCTCTCTTAAAGAATATGGCAGGAAACGTATGTGTGAAGTTGTAAATATTATTATCCCCCATTGTGTAAAGTGCGCCCTCACGCGCGAGTATACGACAAACTAACGATAGCCTAATAGCATCATTACACCGTTCATGTGTCACTCATTTCTGACACTACGTGGTGATATGTGCTTCAGTAAGAATTATAAATCAAACATGTTCCTAGGTCACGTGATCAGTATGTACGCGCGCACTTGCGCTACCTCTTAATGAACGACTCTTCATTCAGCAACTACATGTGCTATATTATGTGATCTTTTATTATTATATCATTATTATATCATTATCATTTATTACCATAATTTATCTATTTTACCGTCTAAATTATATTTTGTTAATGATACATGTGTGCTAATTACGTTTATAAATATGAGTCATGCCATATTAAGCAATTAATTTATTTAAAGCTGCAACTTGGAGACTTTCCGCACAGCGCCCTCCTTGATAAAACTCACCTTTGATAGAGGGCGGTGTCAGGGAACCAGATCTGCTTCGACTGAACAGGCAAATTGAATATTCCATCGTAATCAGCCGGATCCCATTTCAATCGAAAATCCGTCCATATCTGTTAAAATAAATTAAAGAGTCAACGCCTATGATGATTAGAGGTCAGCTTTCGTGTACAAGAGTACGCAATCTGAATTGAGTTCTAATCTTCCGTGCTAATATTTACAGCATTTAATCATGGCTGTGGTATAGATTGATGTTGTATTCACTTCAGATGGTCTTCATTTCAGGAGGAAATAATTATTGCTGCTTATCGATCGTTAGTGGACAGTCACTAATAGTGTCTTTGCCTCCCGTTCATTCAATAGTAGCTTAGTAGTGAATTAAAAGGCTCAATATTATCAGGGTTAGCTAATATTGCTGTTTCTTACTTTATGAACACTACATTCTGACGACTATTTTTACAATAAAAAGCAATTATACATACAAATACACAATAGTAAATTACGCAAATGGGCATGCTCTTCAGTTTAACGATACGTACTACTATTTCAACGGGCATGCGCATTGGCATGGTCGATTATTATATCGAACGCATACTATTATCTGTGCTGTTCACGGAAAATTGTAATCCACAGTGCTTCCAAATATCGAATAAAACTCAAATTTACTCAATAAATGATGTGAATTGCGCCCTCACCTGGTATATCCAGAGATTTCCCGTTACCACTTGTCTTTTCTCATCCTGTAAATATGAACAGACTCCGACATCACAATAAAATAATACATACAAGAATTAAAACAAGCCAAGCAATATGTTTCAATAAAAACGAAATGGTCACATGATACATTAGGTAGTACAGAATATTTGTTTTATATGCATAAACGTAAATTAGAATTCAGTGATTTTGCATCTTATACTACAATATTAAAAACTGAACTAAGTTAATGCGCATGTACATGAGCATAGAATTATTTTGTTCGTGGCTAAATTGACATTTTAATTAAACATTCATCATAAATAAACCACAAATAACACGTTTTGTTGTACAATACATATAATTTAAAAATAACTAAAACAGTCATATCGCTGCTTATATTACCAGTTCAAGTGTTGTAGCACAGAGGTATTTCATCAATAACAGTATCAGTGTCCATGTCAAATACTGACTTACCCCAGGCCAAGTTTAAGTACCAGATATTGTAAACATAGCATCACAGGAACATGTGAAAGTGTGATTGATTTCATTCCAATTACAAACTCACATATTTCAAGCCTATTTACCATAGTTACAAGGTACACATAGAAAACAACTGTGCAAGATATTTCTTTTACTTCTAGTAGTTTAGATTCTGTTCTTCTTCTAGTACAATTTGCTTTCTTGTTATTTTTTTGTGCGCACTAACACATATCTGATGGTTATCCATGAAGGCAATTTATCATCAAATACACTACCAAGATTAGGACAACTTTTGAGAAGTTTGCCCTGGTTGGCAAAAAAGGCGGCATCATAGGCTATCCAGCGCCTTTGCGACACTCATATCATCACAACGTCCACTAAAAGCATTATTATATTTTCACCAAATCCATGTTATCACTTAAAGTGTAGATTTAATTCAATTTACATCGAGTGGTTACAAGACAAACACTACAGCAATTATTACAAATACTTTAACGACGACAAACACATACCTACATTTGTTTGAATTCATATGTCTTAACTAGTATGTACATCATACGATAAAAACCGTTTACAGACTACATAACAATATCTTGACAGAACCCAGCTACCACTACGTACAATTAGGGATAATCACCCTAACTTGCCATTTAGATAATATCGGTTGCTTCGTCAAACTATTCGCAACACAGAAAAGTACATTCAAATGTTTTGCGTTTCAATCCACCCATGACAATATTACACGTTTTGGACATTTATCCATGATTATCATTATCACTTAATGTAAAACAATTTCGCATTTAAAGACGTTTTTTTTCACTGGCAGTGTATTAGTATAATGCTAGTGCCAATCACCAAAGAAGGTGTAAATGGTAGTTACTAAAATCTATTTTATAACGCTAAAATACACCTGGCATATAATTTACCGAAATGCTGTTCAAGGGAATGATAAAAAACTATGGCAATGACCTGACTGTTTGCATAATAAACGTAAGTGTATAGTCTCAACGATGATAACGATGATTTGTAGGCGTTGTTGGCATATTGGTAACCAGGCAACCTGTACTGTGTTGAAAATAAACTAGCTGGGATGTGCGTGTACACCGAACCAAGACAGGATATGTCAACCCACACATGTCCTGGGACTTTCCTTAAGTATTTAGTTCGTTGTAGACATACCCCGTTGTTGACAAGATGTATAATTGCATTTCAGGGGGGGGCATAATAACACCAATCCCATCATGCAAATGTGAACGTTACTTTTGTAGCCTTGACAGGTGTAAGACTGATCGGTTATACAATTGGCAATGTGCCATTTTCTACACAGAAACGTGCGTTCTGATTCAATTCATCCAGATTTCAGTATCCCAATGTTTGCCAGTTGTTATACGCATAAACTTACCACGTCCAATATCTGTGTAATGGCCAACGCTATGTCTATGACGACTGTGTCTCCAGGCTTCTCTGCTGGTCGCACAGTAGCATTGTAATTATGAAACAAATCATACCGTAGTCTCTCTTCAGCGTCACTTCCTGAAACATCTACAACGATAGAATATTACAAATAATAAATATATTAATTCAATACTAATAGCAATTAAGTAATTAATCGGTCTATGTCCGATATTTTGAGACAGTAGGTTCAACCCAAGTCTCGCAACTCACTCAAAAATTATAATAATATCATTCGATGTTCGACTATATGTGTTAGAACACTTGATACTATTGTGAACCCCAGTAGTCCATCTATGATTGACAAACACACTCGACAAGTACTCTGAAATAACAAATTCACCAAGACGTATATTTATTCAATGGATACAGTATTGTACATAACACAATATGGCGCCGTGTTACAAAGATGTGTTTTAACTGTAGTAGAAGTAAATATATACACCTATAGTTTACGATGTACTACATGGCATGACACCCAGAACTGCATCGATTATTGCTGTCAATCATGGTAAACATATCTTTATTCAACATTAACCACCGTTAACATAAAAACGAGTTCCCAATGTCATGGTGGTTACGTTACTGAGCGCAAGGTCGTTACAAAAATAGACTCAATTTATAACCGCTCGGTAGTGAGCACGTTTTTCATAATTTGAATACGTAATCATGTTTCTTGTCCCTTGAAGATATTTTATAATGTCCGCATAGATACCAAGATATTGTATATAATTTGTCTAACTTCAATTTTGATCAGTTATATGAAAACGCAACACAATACAAAATCAATATGTTAGGTAAAACAAAACTTATGTTGGTACAGTAAAATATTAGCCTCATATTCTCACTTAATAGTAGTGTATCAGCACCAATCACCCACCTATGCGCATTAGCTAAGCAATTAGAAACTCCGAAACTCAACTATCATATTCTTTTTCGTTTTGATATTAAAACGTAAACGGATATTCATATCTACAACTACAGATCTGCTTGTTTTGAAATAGTTCTTATCACTAGGAACATAACAGGAATATATACATTTCAACCATGTGGCGTAAATATGTATATGTCCTGCATCGCCATTGAGTTAGCTACATCAACTTGTCAATGTTAACATCATTAGCGTGTTTAATATTTGCTTTTAAATCTTGAAAATAAAGACGTTTTAAACTTTTCAAAAGGTTCGTTCTTTGATTCATCACACTGATAATTGAATGTGTTGAATAATTCCATCACGTCGTTGATACAGACTGACATCATGTTACTGAAATGATCCTAACTCGAGATGTTCGTCGCCAACATGAAAAGAGGAATCATATATCGAACTACAACTACTTGGCTTGTGGTCGTTTTAAATCAACATGTTGCATGTTGCTTGTGTCAGTTGTAACTGTCGGGTATTGTGCCCTGTACAACATACATGACTGCAGAAAGTCACAAGATATTCTGTACATTTGCTAAGCTTGTCTCTCAGCTGAAATAGCTGAAATATATCATTAGGTATACACTATGCAATTTATTTATTCAGTGGGAATATCGTATAGCGCAGTTACAAATATATTAAGGATGTCGCGTGGTATTAGTGACTGTAATTCTTCGGTACGTCACATTGCATATTAAAGCGCGGTAGTCGTCGCGCTGCGCATGTGCGAAATATATGGGTCTCATATAAACAAATATAGCGACTTTGACTGTTGCGCAGATCAACGAGTACGAACTGAGACGTTTCCTAGCTTTTATTAGGCAATTTTTATGTGATTGGAAGGTATCGATGGAGTCACCGTCGGTAATCAGTGCAAGTCGTGCCTAGGTCAAACCTCATACTTGTGATTTCCATTTGAAGAACGCATTGGATTGTGGGAAAATCAATGTTTATCAACACAGATTTAACAAAAGTCATGAAAAATCAACCAGGAAATCAGGCAGAGATATTTAAATATCTACCCGGCGCATGGAAATCTGGAACATCAACGCGCTGATTATATATTTAGTCGACGTTTGAAAGAACAACAAGTCATGGTTTTGAGGGTCAGTTGCAGTTCAGTTAGTCAGTCAATCGTTGTATTCACATCAGTTAACACAAGACATTAATGACATTCAATAGGTCTCTTTTTTATAAGCTTACAAGCAATCATATTCGATGTACCATTTACATTGCTTTCCAGTATTAGTCACTGTGGGGGACTGACTATTTGCAAGTTTTAAATATCACTACAACCATCTGAAATATTTCCGTCGATTCATATTGTCGTTTGGATCCATGTAGCCTGGGTCAGTCAGAATGTTTTATATATAATCTCCTCGCCACTCTAGAACTTTCTGTGGGTGTTGCTATAAAATAACATATATAATATACATTATCACTAAAACTACTGGCAAGTTTGTTGATAAAAATGCTTGATTAATTGACAGTAAATTTGCATATCTCTAAGTACCAGGATGTAAAATCCCATAATTCATATTGAGTCGCCTTTGACACAGTCTACATGTAAATCATGTATCAGTGTTCATGTTTAGAACCTAACCGAGATATTCCCCGTCATGCATCACGTTTACAGCTCAGCATTTTAAAAATCAGACTTACTAGTAGTGTTGAAGCTCAAACCACCGAATGACGTCACGGTAGATATCTGTTTGGTTGCTGCTCCTGTGAGATCTGAACGTGACGTAAAGGTCAGACGTAAGATAACATCAGTGACCGAGACGCCTACCTCCATCGTATTTTAATCGGATTGTTGTGATTTTTTTCAGACGACAGGACGAACCCAGCATTTTACTTACATTCATGCTCTCTATACATTAGTACGTGTTAAATGTACACCATAGTTTCCATTACATGATATTTTGTTCAGCGCTGACGAGGCGGCCGTTCATGAGATTGAATTCAAATCATTGACACCTTTGAATTCGTTTGCATTCAGACGTCATAAGTTTCACTATAAGTTATATTTGCTGAAGTATGATTAAACTTCGGAATATACATAATAAATGTTATAATTAATATTGTCAAACTATATGTATTAACATTACATTCACTTAGTAGTGAGTTGTACCAAGCAAACATGAGAGTAAACGCCGGAAGCCGAATTGATAACAGTTTCAAAAATTACACAATTATTTTTCAACGTTTAAAAAATACAGCTCTAACTATATACAGTTTTGCTACGCTTGTTAATGTCGGTTCCGCCGCAAAATTTCTGCAGATGTCTTGAAATGTGTACACATATACCAAAATACCACAATTTTTTTTTTTTACATTTTCGATCATTTAACTATATAAAAACAAATATACCTACTGTAACTACTACTATGCCTACTGTAACTACACAATGTACAAGTTATGCATATTCATATGCATTGAACACTAGAGTCCATCATTATAATGGCTTTAAATGGCATGCATAATAGAATACCACTTAAAAGTGCAGTGGTCGTTTAAAGTCTCAAAAGTGACAGTAAATAAAATATAATAGATCACATGAAGTCCCCTGTAGATTCAACTGGGCAAGGATTAAATAAATAACACAGACACTTGGAATTCCGCAATTATAACCCCAGCCACGTCACGAATAGAACGGAACATTTTTAATATATTGGGGATGACCATATCTGAAGAAAACAACTAACAAACGTTGAAACCACTGAGTGGACCAACATAAAGTATTCTGAATTGTCGTTACTCTATGTGCTACGAGATTTTAATAACTGCCCGGCTAGTTTTAGGTTGTTTGATTAGTTTCCACTTTATCAGAGGATAATCTGTGCGTTCCGGATTAATCCAGAACGGACAAACGGTCTACGACCATCGGGCCTCAGCACTCAGCACCAACTTTTAATAGCCAACATTCAGTACGACTACTTAGTGAAAATACTGTTTGCAAAGTTAGTGACGAATAACAGTGGTATAAATGTTTCTCACATGAAAATGCAAGCATAGAAATGACTGTAATATGACAGTATAAAAGACAATGTATAGATGTGATTTTTAATCGTTCTTGAATATTAGTGTTCTTGAGTTCGTGAATAAACGATCATAAATAGTTCTGTTATGACAGACTGCTACATACACTATAGCACTAATGCTCACCTGGATTTTTGGTGGGTCTATTGGAAGCAAAGTCCAGGGCTGTTTTTTGGTCCCAGTCCGTCCCTGCACTTCGTTAAAACCCTTGCTTAAGTAGCCTATCACAAATATAAAATTATATAGGGGGCACAAATAATTAGGCCATCAACAAGAATTCCCACATAGTTGCGCATTAAATGTGTCTCCTTTGCCTTAGCGGCCAGCACCTGACGCATTAAATCAGACCAATGTCATTTTGGACATTATTATTATTACGGCGCGACGTGTGCTAAGCATTTATAGTTTATGTGATATCGAGGGCATTCACATTGTCTTTAGGCACAGATGTCCGGACCATAACTGTCACCGTTGTATAGAATCAACGATATCAAATGTGTGTAATATTAAAAGAACTTTACTTCTAAACGTTTATTATGTCGTCTCAGAGGACAGGATTTCTCTCGGTTGTTTTTCTGTAAAGATCAACGACTTTCTAAACATTCAGGGATGGGTAGCTGCTGCTATCGTGTTGAGTATTTGCCCGTAACAATACTCTTAATAGAACATACCAATTGCTGATGTGCATGGTACTAGAAATGGACATGTGAGTGTGTTTCCTATTGGGCACAGCGGTGTGGTTATCACCATGAATCCAGTACCACGGTGGAGTATCTGTGTACTCAGTTGCTATCACTAATTTGCAGTCAGACAAATTGAACACTGTTTGACCCGGTCATATATCCACATGACATTTAATTACATTTAAAGCATGGTACAGTTAGTAACACACGTTATCTGTTTGATCTTCGCTTCTTTCTACTCCTATACTAACACACTGTGTTCGTCTGTGCAGAGATGGGCATGCAGGGATTGGGATTTAATTTTAAAACGTAGTATTGAATGTACCTCGGCAATTAGTAATACGTATTGCTGGTAGAAGGGTTTCGAAAATTCGACATTTTCCTTATTTTTAATAGCGCGCTGTTGGATAGTGGCAAAGTGTTCATATTATTTGCCGACTTCGCTG